CATTTAAAAAGATGTTCATCATCACTAATCATCAGAGAGATGCAAATTAAAACTACAATGAGGTATCACCTCACACCTGTCAGAATGGCTACTATCAATAAATCAACAAACAACAAGAGCTGGAGAGGATGTGGAGAAGAGGGAACCCTAGGAGAAGAGAGCACTGTTGGTAGGAATGCAGACTGGTGCACCCACTGTGAAAAACAGTCTGGAATTTCCTCAAAAAATTAAAAATAGAACTGCTGTTTGACCCATTGATCTCACTTCTGGGAATATATCCTAAGAGTCCTTAAACACCAATCAGAAAGAATATATGCACCTCTATGTTCATAGCAGCATTGTTTATAATAACCAAGATCTGGAAACAGATCAAGAACCCATTAGTAGAAGTTCAGATAAAAAAGAAGTGGTGCATTTACACAATGGAATACTACTTGGCTGTAAAAAAAGGAAATCTTACCTTTTGTGCCAGCATTGATGGACCTGGAGAGTATTTTGCTAAGTGAAATAAGCCAGTCAGAGGAAGCAAAACACAATATGATTTCATTTATGTGTGGTGTCTAATGAGCAAAATAAACAAACACACAAAATAGACACAGCCTTATAGATAAAGAAAACAGACAGACAGCTGTTAGAGGGGAGCAGAATTGGTGGGATGGTTCATAAAGGTGAAGGGATTGAACAAACAAACAAAAAACCCTCATAGGCAAAGACAACAGTATGATGATTACCAGAGGGAAAGGGGATAGGGGGAGGTAGGAGGTGGTAAAGGGGAGATAAATGGTAATAAATGTTGACAGAAAGAGACTTGACTTTGGGAGGTGAACATACAGTAGAATATACAGATGATGTATTATAGAATTGTACACTTGAAATCTTTGCCTTTTTATTAACCAATGTCAGTCAGGAAAATTCAATAAGAAAATTTTTCAAAAGAAAAATATGTTATCATCCAGCATACAAATTAGATATCTTGACTTCTTTCCCTTGTTTATCCCCAGGATTTATTAACTGAGCTATTTTCTTCCTTAAAACATCTAAATCAAGCAAGTCAAACTCAAAGGCTAACACGGGCCAAATAAACAATGCATGCAGCCCACGGGCCATGAGTTTGACATGCTTGATCTAAATTATTTATTTTCTCTCCAACTAGCTTACCATCCCACATTAGCTCTGTGACTTTGGGCAAGTTGTCTTACTGCTCAAAACTCTAGTTCCATGTCTAGAATGGGAATAAAAATAGGTTATAACATTATTGTGGGTTATAACATCGTGAGGATGAGCTGAGATAATGTTTGAAGAGTGCAGAGTACCCTGCCAGGCACAGGCACAGATCAGGTTGTCTATTATTCTATTACTGCTCACCTTAGTTTAGTACTTATCATCTCTCAGGAGAAATTATACTGTATTGAAAGTCTTCTAACTGACCTTCTGTGATATGCTGTCTTATTTTAATTTATTATCTTCTTTATTATCCAAAATTATTATCCCCCAAACATTAATATGCCCAATGTTTCCTCCTTTTCGTATAGTAGTCCCAAGTCTTTAGGATATTTACTTAAGAGGTACCTGTACCATTCATGAACTTGTCACTAAGAATACAGAGATAATTATGCCCAATTGTTGCCTTTAAGCAGCATTTGCAATAGGAAGGAATACAGACCGCTAAGCAATGTACAATGAAAATGGTACAGAGGCTCCTTGAGTTATGATGTGGTTATGTCTGATGAACCCATTGTAAATTGAAATATCCCAAGTTGAAAATGCATTTACTACACCTAATCTACCAAACCTCATAAGCTTAGGCCAGTCTACCTTGGTGTGCTCAGAACACTTCCAATAGCCTAAAATTGGGCAATTATCTTGAGTTTCATCTCAACAGTAATTGCTTTCCTCTTCTTATTTTTACCAGAAGCAGGAGACAAAGATGGCTGTTTTGCAGACATGATGGGATGCAAAAACACAAAACACTGTATCCAAAATATGCTGGCAACACATTTCCCTGTAATGTCTCAGTTGCTTGCACTCGTGATCCCATGCCTGGCTGGGAGCTTAGGCTGGATGCTCCTTGCCAACATCATGAGAGAGCATATCATACCGCATATCGCAGCCAGGGAAAAGATCAAACTCATGTGTATACCTTTTGCACCATTTTAAAGTTAAAAAATTGTAATTTTAATCATCGTAAGTCAGGGGTTCTCTGCATGTGTAACGTACAGAAGTTGTGTGCAAGGTTGGATGATTAACTGCATTAAGAGCGATGGTGACAGTGGAGAAGAGGAAGGTGAAAACCCACATGGGGAAGGTGATACCTTAGCAGGGTTTTGATGGAAAAATATAGCTTGGACTCAATCTGGTAGGCAGAGAGGCTTCTGAAGGGTTCTTTGGCTTTGTGGAGGAAGGATTTGAGGGGCCAGAAGAGTTCGGTTGACAGGGAAAATGTAGAGGAGAAAATGAGAGATAGGCAGCCCTCTAGCCCCAAAGGGAGCAGACAGGGAGGCCTTGGTTTCTGATGAAGATGTCAGCTCAGGTCCAATCGCACATCTCATAGCAAGTGACTCACCTTCTGACCTTCCCCTAATAAGTCCCTCTTTTGTTGCCCTCACTTTTGTTTGAATGGGCTCATACATATAACCTAAAAACAAAATCCAAATCAAACGAATAAGTTATTCAGAAAGAACACACAGAAGGAATTCCTAGGCACACACTGAACATCTAGCCAGAGCTAACGTTTATTGAGCGGGTAGCTCCGAGTGCCGCAGACCTGCTATCAATAAGGGCCATTACGACCCTTGCTTTTAAGATGAACAAACCGAGGCACAGAGGTTACACGGTAAGTTAGTGATGATTAGGATTCAAACCCCAGTCTGTTCAGCTGCAGAGCCTGTGTTCACAACCATTCTCCTCCCTGCCTCTTACTAACCTCCTCCCAGAACCTGCCACAGTGCATGGTCTCCCTGTAATTCTTTCTCCTGAAGGTTCACCGGCAACACTCTCCTCACCCTTTCAGATGCAGCCTAAATATCAACAATGCCCTCAGGCCTCTCCCCCACTGCCTCTCCCCCACCCGCCTCCCTACACAGCAGAATGAATTACTCCCCTTAGGTTTCCTGGAGCCTTATATGTGCCTGCATTTTGATGCACTGTCTCCATTAGTTAACATGCTTATTTCTCCACTATGTTTTGATCCTTAGCCAGGAGAAAGCATAGCATCTGGTGCATTGTAGGTGAATGCTTGGAATTAACAGTCTTGTGAATAAATAATGGGGGGGGTAGGGGAATCAATAATGCTCGTGAATATTGGAAACATCAGCATCAAATAATGCTTTTCCAGGGCAGAATGGAGTGTTTCCCAGGTACTCAGTGGAGCCTCAAACCTCAGGAAGAAAGGAACTTCAGAAACCCAAGCAGTGATGATTTGAAGACATTTCTTTTATTCCACATTCTCGATTTTCCAAAACACTTGTATTTTACTGCAATGGATGGACTAAGACGATCTCCTTATGACTTCCCACAAATCCGAGATGCCTCTCTGCTCCTTTGACCTGCTTTAAGAGACATGTAGAAAACAGAATTTGCCCCCCGCCCCCTTACTGGTCGGACTGTGTTTGCATCCCAAAGCCCTCCACTGCCTCCTTTGTGCACTGCTGCTCCTCTCCCCACGTCTCTCCTGCCTGCGTGACGTGCACACCCAGCCCTAGTCACCCGTGTTTTCTCTGTGGTCCCATAAACTCTGCAATACACTATTGCTAAAGGGCGTGTTGTGGGGCACTGGTCTTTCCCCAGACTGTGTCCTCATTTAAAATTTGGCTTCTATTAGGCAAAAGAGTTGGCTGTGAGGCACGGGAGCATATATTAAATGTTCTGGCTAGCATGCTCTGAATAAATCAATATTCTTGTATATCTGTGTACATGTAGTGAGAGCTCTGAACATGCTTTTGTTTTGTATCCCTAAATTGTTTTTCTTCTTTCCAGCTAATGAGCGATAGAATAGTCTCTCAGACCTCGTTACCAAGACAGCAATGGAAATGCCTTCTGTTCTGTTGCCTTATAAAGGAAGCGACATCATGAGAATAAGACAAATTTGATTTTCAGTTTGTTTGAAGTTGTCATTTTCCCGTGCTGCCATCATTCTTGCCAAATGCCGTTCAGGATCTGATACTTGTTTATTCTCTTGGGTTACAATAGAGAATTGAGATCTACTCACCAGGGAATATGGACTGTGAGGCGAGACCAGCCAAACACCCACAAGAATTAAGTGAGATTTCAGGAGCTTGTAGTGCTTGTACACAGCAGCGATCGATGAGTGTATTAAAAATAAAACAAGCTTGAGAAACCGAAGAACACAATTGAGGGGATTTAAAGGAATCTAGGAAGAGATAAGAGTTTTATCTGATTAATGAGAGCATACACTGACTTCCTGATCCAAGACGACATCTCTTTAGCTACATTCCTCTAAGAGGCAAAGTGCTGTTCAAGTCAGTGCCCTGGGAGCGTTAACTGGCAGCACACTGGGTGTGCAGCATGTAGGAGGGAAGTGGCTGGGAACAAAGGGGAAAAGAAAGGAGGGATAGAGACACGTGCTTTGAACATTAAATCCTGCTAGATGTTTTAGATGAAAACATGCAAAAAAAACCTTGTGCCTTTAAAATATTTCATATTAGAATATGAACTGTAGATGTTGATGTGTAAACTGTGGGAATTAGCTGGCACATGAGTGGTAGAGGGATATTCTGTGTGTGCCAAATTAGAAATAGAAATACTATTGGAAAAATGCTTTCTCCATCTTAGAAAGTAGCAGGGGGATGAATGTATCAGTTTTGCTGAATTGGGAAATACAGTAGAAATCACAAACATGATGGAGAAAGATACCATCTCTTTCATGAGAGCCATGCTATAGTGCTGAGAAAAAAAAATTTATTAAGGTTTTTTAAACAATCAGATTTTACTGTCTTGAAGAAAGATTAAGGTTTTAGTTGCCTTTAATGCTACCAGCTGTAATCTAGTTGTTTTCAAGTATCAAAGCTTTGCATTTATTGCATTATAGGAGTCCTTAAGGCATTTAACACACACACACACACACACACACACACACACACACTTCATAGAGACTTAGAGAAAGTACTTATTTTCATACATGCTAAAATGGGCAAAGGTTTATTTAAAAAGTTTTGTCCATTCCCTAGGAAACATTTTTATGAGAGAACTTGTGAGTAGATGGAAAGCAGATCTATCAAGAGGGGGTCAATGGAATCTAGAGATGATTTTTATAGAATAATAAATAGAGTAATTTAAACTATCTCTTGCCTACATTTTTTGGGGGGATGGGGGAAGAATAGCATAAAGAAAGATTTTTTTTTTGTTCAAGGGATATAGGTATCTTGCCTTTTCTCTACTTCATTTGTTTCAATAGATTGAGCCCAGGAACTCAATTGCCGTCACTGGATATAAACATGGGTTTACTAGTAAAAGCAGTTTTTACAACTATACAGCATTGCCATTGTTCTGTCTCCAAGAACCACTTAGCTGCCATCCAATATGGGATTGTACCCAAATGCTAAGCAAATCAGACTCTAATAGGAATGGTTCTTGAGTAATCAGTTGGACCCAAAAGATACTGACCTAGCTTCAGGGTGCTCATTGGTGTTCTCTGAGGTTACCAGCAAAGGGGTAGTGAGGATTACCCCGATACCGAACAGCATGAACCTTTCCGGGAACACTGCTCATGTTCACAGTTTGTCTTGAACATGTTGTCTAGAGCCCCCCTTTTTTTTGCCCCACCCGTAAATTTCTTTCAAAGAGCAGCTCAAACAGGTCACTTAGGTTTTTTTTAAAATATATTTTATTGATTTTTTACAGAGAAGAAGGGAGAGGGATAGAGAGTTAGAAACATCGATGAGAAAGTAGATCCTTGTTGCTTATTGTTAATCAGATACTCTGCCTACTCCAGGAAATCTATTGATGAGCTAATCAGATACTTTGTCTATTCCTGGAAATTGTTTGCTGATCTGTGTATCACTGAAACCTCCTTACCCTAAGGGCTACTCCAGATCAATAAAAGATTGGAGCAGCCTGAGCAGTGGTGGAAGTCCTTCGGGACTTGCCCGTCTGGTACCCCAATATTGCAAAATTATCTCGTGTCCTTTTCTCTCATTTGTTGTACAGCTCCTCTTTCAGATACCAAACCCTACTCCATGCAGAACGTGGAGGGAGTCTTACTTGACACCTTTCAGTCCACAGGCCGATGCTCTATCCACTGAACCAAACCGGCTAGGGCAAGGTCGTTGAGTTTTTGATGCCCTGGTAGATTCTACTACCCTCTTTTGTGTATCCATAGCCTATTGTTCACACTATATTTAAAGCTCTTTCAAAGTCACACCTTTGATTCCCTCACTTCTCTGAGCACTGATTTAAAAATAGAGACGATAAGTTATTCATATTTTATATTCTCAGTTTTTAGCTCCATGCCTGGCAAGTAGGAACTGCTCAGGACTTAACTAATCAATAAGAGGGCCTTTTTATACTTTTGACATCCAGTTTGCTTTGACAACCAGGATGAGACCAGGCCAACTTTGACCTGGGTAGTTTGAGTCAATTAGCACAGATGACCATGAAGATTTGTCTTGAGAACACTGAGAATTTTACTGCTCTATTTGTTATCTAAATCACCTACATCTATTAATTTTCCTCAAAAGGTGTTATATTTTATCATGGTTTGAAAAGCATGACAGAACCTGCAGATTATATCATTTTGGTACACTATAATATATCTTTTTTCAAAAATATTATATCATACTCTTCTTGTTCTTTGATCATACAGTTTAGTATAAAGGTAAACTGGATGCACAATATCTAGTTAGACTATATAAATGAAGGAAAATACCTGAATTCTTGTAGTATTTGCACTTCAAATATCATTTCTTATGGCTCTCTAACACACACTGTATGACCTTCATATTGTGAATTACCTATATGAGCAGGGAAAAGAAGTGTGACTATATTATTCATTTAACTTCACCAATATCTAGAGTCAAAGAATAATTTGGAACCCATAGTGAAGGTTTAGTCTGTAATTAAAATGGAGTTGAAGTCAGACTTTAGACTTTTAAGTAGTCAGGTCAGACAGTTCAGATTAATAAATGCCACATTGGGAATTGACTCAAAGAGAGTGAATACATCCTTAAAAATAGACTCTATCTTCAAACATGGTCATTGATCTATGGTGTTCTGTAATGTGAAGATATGAAAATCAAAGCAAATCATAATTTATGTTCCACACTCCCTATTCATCTCTATTGTAGCCAAAGCTGTTATTTTTTATCTCATTGAGGTTAAGTTGGAATTTAAAGAATTAAACTCAACAGTCTATTGAGAAGATCCAACTTCTCCTTCTCCCAGGCCTTTCACTTCCTCATCTATACTCATGCAAACCTCTGTACACACACACACACACACACACACACACACACACACACACACACATGCGCACGCGCACACACACACATGCACACGCTGCATTTGGGATTTGGGTAAACATTTAAAGATTTTTTTCAAGGTAGATTGTTTTAAAATTTTTTAGAGAAACACACACACATTCATGCTTATCATCTTTTATTCTGATGCCACAATTACAAAAATATTGTAAATTCGATAGCTCATTTTATATTCATCCATAAATTATAATAAACACAGACTTTTATCATTGGCCCAAAAATGAAATGTGAGGGAACCAGAGGGTAGGGGGGTGGATGGGATCAGCGACATCTCAGGGTGCTTTTTTCTGTCTCCTCTGTCCAAGATTATCACCAGGCTTCTTTTTCCTACATCTCTCCTCTGAGTAGGACAGGTATACCAGTTGGTTTATTTGGTCATACTTGAAATTACTTGACTAAAAATGCACTTGCTGCTTCTCGTCCTTGCTGTTTTGTACCAGGGAGACCTACTTTCTAGTTATTAAAAGCAAATTGTACTTCCAATTTCTATATCGTTAATATCACATGTCATTACATTTTTCCATGGACTCATTTCCAACAATACATTTATTTCTAAAAGTGGAAGAAGCAAACTATGGAACATTGCCTTTGCATTCAAGTGGCATGGTGCCATTTGATAGGATTCTAAAGGATTTTTGTCTCCTTTGGCTTTGAGTGCCTTGGCTCTAGAAAATCATTTGGTTTTCATTACCCTGAGATTGTTTCAAGTTTAACAAAATGTTCTTTTTAGGGACTATAAAAATCAATTTAATGAACAGTTGAATCGTTAAAGAAAAAAATCACAAATAATAGTTAGATTTCACTGGGTCCTGTAGAATGTGTATAGATGTGGGAGAAAGTGTATAGAATTAGAGCTCTTCGGAGGTAGTGATAATAAAATGAAAACTCCCCTTTGATTTTATATCACATTGATCTCCATTGGCTATCACTTATATAAGTGATCAGTTCTATGAAAGAAAACAACTTAGAAATGTTATTCAATTGGGGCAAATATGGGAGACACTAAAAATAAAACCAAAAGAACAAACTGGAAATCTGGCTGGGGAATGTCAACTTATAAAAGTGTCATGTTATTCCAAACCAAAGTAAAAATGAAAAGAGGCAAGTGGGAGAAAAAAGTTTAGAAAATATTCTGGTGTGCAGTACATCATAAGAAAGAAGAGTGTGTGTGTGTGTGTGTGTGTGTGTGTGTGTGAGTGTGTGTGAGTGTGTGTGTGTGTGTGTGTGTAAGTGTGTGTGTGTGAGTGTGTGTGTGTGTGTGTGTGTGTGTGTGTGTACTCGGGCACAGTTTAACACAGAACTGGATAAACTATAATTACTGTGGTTATTTGGGATAAAATGTCAGTTTCTCAAGTTTACTTTCATTTCAAAGTAATCCATATTCTAATCCTATACTTTTTTTTCTAAGGTTGTTCTCTCTAGAGATGCATTAATATGAAATGCCTCCAAAAATATTTTAGAGAAGATTCTACACAATTTTGAAATTCCACTTAAAAAATTATCTCTTTAAAATGCTTGAATTTATGGTACTATGTTATAATAGATTTTACTTACCCAAGAGCTTGTATAAAGTCAACTTCATTATTTTTAGGTGTGTTTTTTTAAAAAAATCACAGATGGTTGATAATTTTCACCTCCTCCTAAAGATTATGCCATATTTCCAGAGACATTTTTTTCTATAGGGGAAGAAATGCTGAGCTCTGAGAAGTCCTTTGTGGCATTTGATATGCCTACAGGCTGCCCAGCCAAGTGAACCAAGCCACAGGGTATGTGTGAGCATTTTCCTGGGGTCACACATGTAGAGATTTTATCTACAACCAGAGTTTAACAACCGCAATGACAGTCACATTCCTTAAAAATTCTGTTATCTGGAGGCAGAGCTGCCTCAAACTGATTGTCAAACTGCAGCGGGAAGGCCAGGGAGGGTTGGGGGGCAGGAGGGAGGGAGGTAAGAGATCAACCGAAGGACTTGTATGCATGCATATAAGCATAACCAATGGACATAAGACTCTGGGGGGTAGAGGAGGCCAGGGGATTGTCAAGGGCGGGAAAAAAAGGACACATATGTAATACCCTTTGTAATACTTTAAGCAATAAAACAATTAAAAAAATTCTGTTATCTGAAGGCCCTATAAAAATTGCTCTCTCAATGAAGCATTCTTCATATTCTGGACATTTTGAACACCCTTGGCTAACTTTCTATGTTAGCTTGGCTTTATCACTTTCTACCAATAGTGGACTCACCCGATGTTAGACTCTTATGGAAGAATCCCATGGCACTGTCTTTGCCTTCAAGGAGATCAGAGCCTGAGTCATGGGAAACACTCAAAAGATGTGTTGAAGGAAAAGATATATTCAATTTAAAGACATATAACAAGAACAAAGACATTTAAAATCTTCCAATTATTCTGGCCCCATAAGTATAAAACTGAGGATAAGAAATAGGTGCCATGAGAAATGTCTTTCCTGTGAGTCTTAACAATTGATGAGGGATCCTTCATTGTGTGAAAGAGAACTTTACAACGTCTCTCCTGGATACGGGGAATTTTTCTGATAGCCATGTCTAAATCACCAGGAAGAGTGGCAGGTAGTTTCATCAGGACCTACTAATAGAGTCTATTATGGTTAGGGTGAATTTTAAAATTATTTTACCCTTGTCATTTCTTATTTTGTTTATGTGTGTTTGTCCCTTTATTTCTTAATTAGTGTTTGTCTATTTATGAAAAAGAAAACTTGATTTTTATTTTGATTTACTAATTAGGTGTATTAATTTTTCCTTTGACCTCATTAACTTCTATTTTTATTAAATCCTTTGTGATTTCTTTTCTGTTTACTTTGTTGTTGTTTTCTTAAATTGGTAATTTGGTTCATTGGGGATTAAAAAAATTTTAATGAGTGTTTATTATAAATTTTCTTCTGGTCACTGCTTTTTTTATATCATAAATTCTGCTTTATTTTTTTGTTATTACTTTTTTTAGATACTCTTTTATTTCAGTCTTTATTCCTCTGTTCACCTAAGAATTATTTGATGTGCAATTCTTAAAGTTCTAGAAAGAAAGTCTTTTTAGGTTTTTGATTTTGTTAATAATGTCTAGTTGCATTGCATTATGACCAAAGAGCATTACAAATTTACCAATATTTCCCTTGTAACCAAATATATGATCAAATATTTTGTGAATATTCCAAAGGCATGTGAGATGATACCTTTCCTACTGTCAGATGTAAAGAGTGATACCTATATATATAAAAGCCAAGCGACCGGAACGACCAGTGCGCACTGCAGCCCGCCAACCAGCCTGATGGGGCTGGGGCCGGCCAGCCAACCTCCCACAACCCCTTCTCTGGGGCCCACCCATGCATGAATTTGTGTACCGGCCTCTAGTATATTTATAAGAACTGCTGTATTGATTATGCTATGTATATTTTTTAGTCTTACTTATTTTTATCTACTTGACCAGGAATGTTACAGTCTCCAATCATTAGTATATTTTTATCTTTTCCTTTTGTCTTTATCTCTGCTTCTCTTGCAGTTTTTACTTTTTAAAGAAAATTGGTGTGTTATTTGGTAATAGATATTTATAACTCTTCTATCTTCATTGCAAATTGTGGTTTTTGCATGGAAATTTGTCTCATTTAATATGCTTTCATTTGCATTCTATTTTTGTCTGATATTGGTATCAAAATTCTTTCTAAATGTTTCCATTTCCCTACTATACTCTGCTTGCTATTATTATATATTTAGGCTTTCAAAATACTCTCATTTTCTATAATTTTATTCATATGATACTTACTGAGATCTTGATTTGTGAGCCAGATAAAAAATCTTTTTTTTTCCAGACAGGTGAGCTAAGGCTTATTAATATTAACAGATATGACTGATACGTTTGTTCTTAGTTTTGTCATCTAGTTTATACTATAATTTTAATGAGTATTATTGAATTTTCTATGTTTCTTTATCTGCATTGTGTTTTCTTTGCTCTTTATTTTAAAAAATTATTTTGGTATGCACTAGTAGAAGCATTTTTATTTTTGTTCTATTCAGTCTCTTTTTGGTCTTATTCCTTTTGAATATACTTAGTCCCGGTTTTCTTATTAACCTTTAGTTATCTGGCTTGTCAATTTATAATTATATATGTCAATTCCCAATTATTGCCTATGAAACTATCAATAAGCTTATTTTACTTTCTTTTTTCTTCTCTGGAATTTAGTCACAGTATTGCTACTTTGTGAGAACATATAACCCATAAAACATAGCCCACACTAAACAACATAACATATCCTTCTATGCTTATCCCCATTTTTTTATCTTATATCTATAATCAAATGCATTAACTGCTCAGAACCAGTCTTTTGTTGAGGTTTCTCCAGTACATCCTTGGTTTGATGAAACTAATCCTAAATTACGTTGTTTAAAATGGCTCTTGGGTACAGAATCCCCTAACCTTATGCATGTTTAAAGTTCTTTTCCTGTAGACTTGGTAGTTGAAAGATAGTCTGGATATTGATTTTGAAAAGTCTTATTCCAGTTTAACTCTCCCTGCCCTTCGAAGTTATTTCCTCTTTTTGCCTGGAGGCCCTGGGGTTTTTCTTACCTTTGAATTTTGAACATATTACTAAGGTAGATCTCAGAGCTGATTGTTGCAAATCAGTTTTTCTTCCTACTCAATATGTAGTTTAATGCTTTTTTACTCCTAGAAAGTATTTTTAGATTAAATTTTATGTTATAATTTAAGGTATAAATTCTGTTCCATTGATTCATCTTTTGTGGAGACTCTAATTATGCATAAATTTATGTCTTCAATTTAACCACTTTCTTTTGGACACATGTTACTTCTTACTTTTTTCTCCTTTTCATTTTATTTTGTATATGATCCTTCTTATCTTTAATGCCCTTCATTAAGTTTTCACTTATAATTATTTATTTTTCATCATCTCATTTGGCCCTCATTATTGATATGATTTTACCTTTCCTTCTACTTATGTTCTGAGTTCAAAAAACTTTCATTTCTTTTCTTTTTGTATTTTGTCCATTTCTATTTTTTGCTTTCTCAATTTTATTTATTTATTTATTTATCTATCTATCTATTTATTTATTTATTTTGCTTTCTCAATTTTAGATTAGAGGTGTTTTTCATATGTCCAAATTCTTATGTGGGGATAATTTAACTGTTCAAGTTTTTCTCTGATACTTCAGTGTTTTTTGGGGGGATGGACAGATAGTTTCCATTAATTGAATTGTTTGTTTTTTAAAAATAATTTTGTTTTATTTTTATAATCATTTTGAGTATATATGATGCTTGCTTTCATCTCAACATTTCTGATAAAAGGACTGTTTGTTTAAGGTGCTTTGCAAGATTTCTAGTTTAAGAGTGTCTGAACTCTTTAAAAGTACAGTTGTGCTAGATCAAATTAATGGCCTCAGTTCTCTTTACCTCCCTGTATTCATACTCTTTTTCATGTGACTTTTCAGTTCTTCCTATCATAGATATAAGTTGCATTTTGCACACAATTTAAGGGAAGGGATTTTCATGAAACCCCTGGAGCTCATGTGTGCACCACAGGGTCAAAGACTTCGATGTTCTGACCAGCAATGGAGAGCTTCTTCCCACAGACGGAACCAGCATTAGTGAAAAAAATAAGGAAATTAAACTTAGGCTGTCTGAGCAAGCAACCACCCCATAATGGCAGATCAATTAGAAACAAACACGTTATTGTTTTTTGAATCCTTTGGGCTAAACTCTTCTTTTAGTCTGAGGTAAGTATAATTTCTTCAACCCTCTACTGCACTTCAAAGGTATAGATAAAGTTAGAGAGCTGCTTTAAGATTCATATTAATTCTCTTGGCAAAGAGCCAGCTCGTATAATTGAGTGATTCTTTATTCTCTTCAGAACACTTTCTCTGGTTCAGATATATCTTGCTGACAGTTTTCTGGGCAGCAACTTTATGAACACATA